ATTCTTGTTATTGGGTTTAAACAGTTATGGAAAAGCCTTGCCTTTTTTTTATCTAAAACTGAATCTTTGTAAGCTTGGATTCAGTTAATGCGATATTTTGGTTGTCAAAAATTGGAATCTTTGGATATTTCGAATGTGTCTCTGATTTCTTTCTGTGGTGTTCCAGGCACTTGCTAAAGAAATTGTGGGTTCGAGAAGAACAGTGAACCGTCTATATGAAAATAAGGCGCAGATGAATTCGATATCAATGCACCTTGGGGAGAGTGTTGGTATAAAGCTCTCATTGCCATGATTCTTGAGTTTTCATGATTTGCCATACGATGTTTTCTATGTGATTTTTTACACTTCTTAATTTTCATTGGACCTACAGCAATTGCTCGAACAGTTGGGCATCTTTCCAAGAGTGCAGAGGTTATGAAGCTAGTCAATAATCTCATGAAGGCTCCACAAATGGCTGCAACAATGCAGGAATTCAGCAAAGAGATGACTAAGGTACCTTAGTGGTTTTTCTTATCTCATTATTGATCATATATGCATATCGAGTTACACACAAAAATCACACCTTTAAGTATCATATTACTCTTCTCTATTTGAAACTAGTTTATCATCTGAGCCTGTTTGAAGATTCAGAGCTGTGTTCACTGCTTTAAAATTGGTATCATCGTACATGATTATACCGAATGAATCTTTTGTTAATCTGATATGCAGGCTGGAGTAATCGAGGAGTTTGTGAGTGAAGCTATTGACAATGCCTTAGATTCAGAGGATATGGAAGACGAGATCGACGAGGAGGTTGACAAAGTATTGACAGCAATTGCAGGAGAAACCGCTGCAGAGCTTCCAGATGCTGTCAGAAAGGAAAGAATAAAGGTACCTGCACAGAAAGCGAGCACTTCCCGCGAGGTAAGATGATTGAATGATTTCAAGAACATGAAATATGTTTGTTTACTTTTTAACTTCTGCGAGATTAGATTCTGAAAGAAAAAATGGTTTCTTTCTGCAGGAAGAGGCAATTGCAGAGGGTGTTGATGATGAGGAAGAATTGGAGGAAATTCGAGCTCGGCTTGCTAAAGTTAGATCATAACTGATTCCAATGACTCCTTTTATACGCGATTCTTGTTTGATCCGAGAGCACTCTTGAAGGTGAGGAGAACATAAGGAGATCAGAATGTATTGTATAATATAATTGAAATACTGTATTTTGTAATCATCAACTACCTTTTTGTTAACAAAATTTCGTTTCTTTCCAAGGTATTCAATTAACCAAAACTCTCTTTGATCCACTTTTATGGTTCAGTTATTGAAAACTGGATCGGTTTTATTCGGTTTAGTTTCCACTTGTGAACATATGTGTTTTGAGTAAACCATAATTGTGTTTCTGTACTTGTTTAAGAGATGTTGATGAATGATCATGTCACTACAGGTAAATTGATCACTTCACTAGGGAAAGTCATCATTTGGATAGATTCGTTTCTAGATCATTCATACAACACGAAAGCAGAAATTTTATAGGAAATGTCTTGGGAAGTTAAATTATTTAATAGTATACATATTAATCTGTTTTCTTTAACATATGAAAACAGTTAAAAAAAACTAATGTGTTTGAAAAATAATAACCAATAAAAGATGTATTAGTGTTACCCTGTAGTGTTAATTAGGAGTAGGACACATGATTTGCTATCTTTCAAGTTTCTAATATTGAATTATGGGTTCGATTTTATTATAAAAAAAATGGTTTCCTCTCGAAAGTTTTTGGCTAGAAAGCTAGAACCAGTCACGTTCAATTCAAGAAAGCGTGGTCATTTTAACCGAGCCAACTCGAGAATTTGAAAGAACCTAACCAAATTGACTTTAGTTAGAATTTTCGAATAATTCTTTTAGAACCGAACCGAATTTGGAAAATACAAAACAGAGATTCAACATCCATATCCTCAACAAAACAAATTAAGTGAATATCCTTAATCAGTACAAAACCATAATCCGAAGTTAGTGAGATGGTAATTCACTTTCACAAGAGATTCAATCATTCAAGATCAATCGATAACTGATATACGGTAAACTAGATCCTCATTAACTTGACTACAAACATCATAACCCATCGATTACATTAATACACCATCATATACCATCAGTTCTATTCATA